CCAGTCTTTTGAGTGAATGTCCTGGATCAGTCTTATGCCATCATCACCCTAAGATGGCACTGGTTTCAGCACTGGTTTGCACAACTACCAGTATTATCTTCCCTTATAGGAGAGAAACACACATCTTTCAAAACATACTTCAAAATGCATCTCAGCTGTGTAGGAATTTCATTTTTGTAAGACAGTGTTGAGACATCCAGCTCAAGGCCATAAAGAGACGAACAGGATGAAGGAAACACCTCACTCAGGATACGTAGGCGCTGACCAGCATCAAAAAAGTGCACAAATACTCTTAAATTGCAACAAACATCACATTACACAGTTAAAACTGATGCCTACCTTTTGTTTATGACAGGACCGGCGTTCATCTTCATGCAGCTGACTTTGCGGATCTGGACACCGACAGCACAGGTGGAAGTCCCGTTCCACAAGTCGGTCCCGTTCAGATCCAGAGAGGCCTCCTCAATGCAGGGACCCCACGCCGAGGCCTCCCAGTAAAATATCATGCAGGAGTGGTCGTTGCAGGATCTCCACTCCTCCAGGGCTGGAGCCGCCGGGCATGGTTTCCCCTCTGTGGGCCGACGCACCGGGAAGATTGTCAGAGTGCCACATACATAAAGAGCATATAACACCGGGTTCTGAATAAAGCTGAGTAGACACAGTTCAGCGTTTTCCTGTGATTATAAGCCAGCTAAAACTCGTGTCAGCAACATTATTATGCAGAGTCCATGTGATTTGGACAAAAAGTGAAACAGATTTGACTAAAAGTACAAGTTGTAGGAAGTCACTGGAAGTCAGATGTTGTACGATGAGCGACCTCCAGCAAAAAAAATAAAAAATAAAAAATGTTTGTTTGGGTTAGCTGAGCAGACCTTTCACAAGTTACAACTTGTAGAAGTTTGAAACCTCGGTCAGGTCACAGTAACAGGATTTGTGGGGCCCATTCAAAAGCGCCGAAAGCTACGCAGCAACGATCCGCTCCGGCTGCTGCTCCCAGTGTCGCCGCCGCCGTCACATGTTTATTCATTCTTTATGCACCTACTGTATAATTACACATTTAACCTCAACGACAGTTCGGCAAGAAAGCAGGTAATTGTACGTTTCTATATTCGTATTACCTGCGTTTGTGCCATTACTTTGGCTAATGCTGCCTTCTGCACGTCCATAACCACAGCAGAACATTTTAGTCATCTCGTAAATGGCAGCTCTAATACTGTAATTTGATGATGTAGATAAACTTAGATTTAGAAAGCACAGGGCTGTGAATGTGTAGTTAGAAAGCAAAGGGCTGCTACAGAAAATAAGAACTTTTTATATTGTCTGTGTGCTTACATTTGGCTCCTCACCCATTTTGTTCTGAGTGTAATCCATCTCTGTTATTTCTAAATCTGTCTCTAAACGCATCGTGCATGTTGAGTCTTTATTTCCTTGAGAAATATTAGAAATTAGAAACACACACGCGTGTACTAACACATCCTCCACATGCATGTCTGTGCTTGTGAGCGGGTCCAGACCGGTCAGCGCAGGGACTGCTCAGCCTAAATGGAGTTAAAGCGAGGGACAGCTCAGTTGATTAAGGATTACAGGTGTTATCTGGAGGGTGTCAAGAGCCCCGAAGTGTACCGTGACTTACAGAAGGGCGCAGATGAGTTTGTCACTGAGCCACGGCCAAATAAATACCTGCATCTTCCAGTCTGCTCTGCATTCCTCATTCCCTCTGCACTGTCACACCGTTAAAAGCATGCAGGCCCATAAACACAAAATACAGCATTCACGCGCCACGCACACAAACATTGGCAGCACCTCTGCCAGCCAGCAGATAGCCGGCAACATGGCAATAAACAACGCAGTTTGGAACCTGGCTTAAGCTGTGAGATTCTTTCATCAGCTGTTACTGCAGATATGCGTTTAGTTACAGGGATTAATGGGCGGGAGCCGACTGCCAAGGCTCTGCTGTCTGACTTGAAAACACAACACATGGAGTACACGCAGAGAAATACTGGGCCGAGAAAGTGTCCTGATAATGGATGGTCAGCTCAAACCTCAAACGTTTTTGAGATGAAAAATGTCTAAATAAGAGTCTGAAATCTGGAGAAATAACAGCCAAAACAAAGGAACGGCGTACGTGGAAGCACTGATAAAACCTCTGGCTGTATCAATCTGTGGCTGTTATTTGTTAAGTCTAGAGTTAGTCCTCGATTTCCTCGTTTTGACTCTGAGTAACAGTAACGATACATCATGTGGTCACTGAGCAATCCACTAATGAAAAACTTCTTTTTTTTTTGACAAGCTGCTTCATTTATACTGTCCAGTACAGGTAGGACTGTACCTCATCGGTACTGAATGGCACAGAGTCAGTCCAACTTCTGCCTCTCCTCAACCTTCTGTCTTATTTTGTTTTTTAATAGGCATATATTAATTAGTACTTTATTATGATAGTGTTATGTATGCACAACAACATACCATCTTCTAGAACACCATCCCAGCATCAGTGACCACGACAACTAAATAGCTAATTTACCTTTCCCTGGGATGGCCAACACACTGCGAAAGCGGCTCTGTCTGCCCTCTGCAGTCTTGGTGGCACAGCTGTGTGAGCAGGTGGACCAGGAGGACCAGGAGCCAACCACACAGTCGGCTGAACAGGCCACCTCGCAGGCCTCTTCTGAGGGAGGAGGGTCGTCCGCACAGTGGTCGTCGGGCACGTCTTCTCCTGAGGAGGGCGAGATAAGAAAACTGAAATGGAGACATCAGCTTCGGGGCTTCAACATGAATTAAGATCGGATCAGTCACACGTTATGTATCTTGTCCTGACCAGGCAGCTATCAGATAGTCGGGCTTGTGTAAATAGAGCCAACGCTCACTGGGGTAAGATTCAAATCCAGGTAAAGCAAAGGAGAGAGTCTAATCCCAGACCCTAGGACTGGGGTAATAAATCCAGTCACTTGGCGTACAGTACAGTGGGATGAGATGATGAGTAGATCTCACTGATGATGCATGCTGATGCCAAGAACAAACACATCGTAATCAGCCGAAATCACAATCTGAACATGAAGACGCACACAAGAAGCCCACGTGATCGTTAAGGCTGTCTGGAGCTGAAACTTAATGAACTGAACTTTAGAATTATTACTTTTTTTTAATTATATTTTTTTTAATAATCTCAAAATTAATTCTAAAGTTCATGTTGTGTTTTTTTTTTGTATTGGCAAAGTTTGCAGATTGAAAATAGTCGCAGATACTTTGGGCAAACACATCCTCTCTCTGATAAAAGATTTACTCCAAACATAAGTAGGCATCCATCCTAATTCTTGTCAAACACAAATAGAATTTCATTTTATCCCGAGAATATAATAAGGCCATCCCATTGGTATTCTGAGGCGGTGCTAAAAGCTACCCCTTCAGCCTTCATCTTGCACCCATGCTATGAAATATGTATCACAAGTTAACTTCTCTGTTAGGAGTGAAACAGCTACAGGAAACACAGCCTTTCCTCAAACTGTACCCCGTGATAAAGCTTTTCTTGTTGTGTGATTCAACACTTTAAATGCTGGAAAGGCCAGGTACATATACATATATATATACCTATAGTATACAACAGAAGTGTGGATACTCTTGTGCAAGATCACGTAAATGTAAATTGATTCAAAATGCATTATATGACGAAGATTGTTCCTGATTAACAAACAAATAAAAACCTTTAAAAAGACTATATTGAAGATATAGCTCCCAAAGTAGAAACTAAACTCAGAGAGAGATAAATATGAGCAGAACTACAACTGCAGCAGTAATTAGGAGAAGTCCAGTCAAAGCCACAGTAGTTATCCTCCTAAAACAACGCCACGGACCGCGTGCAACTTGTACAATCTAGTTCTGAAAAACAGCAAAGTGCTTCAGAGATGGCGCGGGGTTGATCAGTGGAAACCGGAGGTTCTGTGAGAGCTCAGACAGCGAGAAGGAGAGTGAATAACTCCAACCCTGTGGAGACGGCAAACAAGGAAAAGTAAGAAGAAAAAATCTTTGCTTGTTTTTTGGCACAAAGCTGCAAGTTTGCTGAAGAACATAAAAAGAAGTGTGACTATTTCAAGCACTTTTTTTTTTTATCTGTCAGACGAAACTAAAATACATTTATTCAGCTCAGGTCAGTTCCAGCCTGTTTGGCATTAACCCGACCAGAACTACCGCAGTGAACGCACAGGCCCGGCAGTGAAGAACGGAGGTGGGAGCGATGACACGAGGCTGCAGGAGTGGAAAAGGTGTTTGGAGATGACATTTATAGATGGTTGATTGAATGCATGTAGATCCATCCATCCATCATCTCTACACCTTAATCCTCACTAGAGTCATGGGGGGCGGAGCCTATCCCAGCTGACTCAGGGTGAAGGCAGGTTCACCTGGACAGGTAACCAGTCTATCACAGGGCTACACTTAGAGACAGACAACCAAGCACACTCACATTCACACCTACGGACAATTTACAATCACCAATTAACCTCAGCATGTTTCTGGACTGTGGGAGGAAGCCGGAGAACCCGGAGAGAACCCACGCTGCACGGGGAGAACATGGAGACTCCACGCAGAAAGATCCCGGGTGTCCTCACCGGGACGCCAACCGGCGACCTTCTACTAATTACTAGACAACAGTTCTAACCACCGAGCCACCTTGCATCTCCATGCATGTAGATGTACCTGAATACAATCTGAAAATATGACTTCCTGTCTGCAGAAGCACTGAAGAGGAGGAAAGTATTCCACCATGATAACGATCCAAAGCACACTGCCAACATCACACAAGAGCTTCTAAAGAGGAAAATAAAGAACTTCTGTGACCAAGAACGTCTCCTGACTTGAATCCAGCAGAACACCTTTGGTAGAGTACATGAGGACACAACCTGATTCAGAAGAAATAGTCTTTGAAGAACTCTGGTGTCCCTCATAAGTAAAAGGAAACCCATTTCTCAAATCTAAAAGATTTGAATTTCAGCAATGAAAGGTGTCCTGATGTTTGTGTGCTCGTTGTGGGGCCTGAACTGAATTTAACATCTATAGTGAATCTAAACTGTGACGAACAAACACCCAACTGAGCAGTAATGATGCTATAAGGAGAAACCATCTGAACCATGTGACAGGATTGTACTCACCTCTGTTGTCTACCCTATATATACATATGTGTGTGTGTGTGTGTGTGTTGGATCCTGCCAAGGGTTTGCCACAGATTTCGCTCTCCAAGAGAAAGAGATCAGTTTCAGAGACAGGATGTCATCCTGATGTCAAAACAATGCCAGCAGCAGCTGAAGCATTGTTGTTGGATGTACAGTACGCTCATACTCAGCCGTATCATTAACTTAGCTGAACTCTGCCACCACATCATGGAATATGGTTTAACAAAAACAACCCCGGGCCAGATTTGTCATCAATTTGTGTTTTTTTTTTTTTTTCCTCCATCTCCGAGCAAATACCCTTGATACAGACGAAACCACTAAACGAACAGCAAGCAAACCTGCGTATTGCCTCATCAGACAGATGTGAAAGGCTCCCTGGGGGAACCCGACAACCTTTTGCCCATAAAGTTAAAGCCTCAGAGATCTCCAGCTATCAAAGTAACTGGTGTGTGTACAACATCCCCGTATTGCTGCAAAATAACGGTAAAGACCCACGGGCTACTGTATGGATGCATTATTCCTTTCATTAGGGCAGATGAAAGTGGGCACAAGATGGAGAGTCCTCCTGCTGAGGACACCACATGAAGCATTAGCAGTATATCTGTGGTGTGTGACAAGTGAAAGGATGGATGGTGATGGAGCTGGTACCGTAAAGCACACGGAAACTACATTTAAAAGTAGAACAATAGCTCTGGGAGGCCGGGAATCATCTCTCATCATCGTATATCTCTAAATGCATCTAAAAGTAAGCAAAGATCTGGAGGCTGCTGCAGCCCTTGAATAGAAATTGCACTGATATTTAACATAATTGTTTTGAACTGACACTAAGATTTTAAGCTGTGTGGGAATTCATTGTCTTGGCTCACCACGGCTCCCACCCAGGTAATTATTTCAAGTGTGCATGCTTTATGCAAAGCGAGCATAAAATGTAACAGAATATGCGCTATAGATTTCTGTGAATCAACCTCAGCGACCCATATTTCAGATACACACTGGTACTCAGCAGTGCCTTTAACTCGGTTGAACTGTGATAATGTGCATTGAGATACAGCAAGACACTGTTTAAATGTAAATGAAGGCCGCAATGTGGAAAGTTTTATGTAAAGTTACCCCAAAGTTTCGCTTTTATCTGCAGAGTGCAAGAAACCACATGACGAGGATGCAGGTCAGTAGAAGACATTTTAAGAGCTCTGCATGTTTGGACCACCGGAGACACGCGGTTTGATGCAGTCAGTCGTTGTTTGCATGTACAGTTTTATCAAAATCCACTGCTACAAGACATGCAGAGGCTATTAAAAATATAACAAACTTCTCTATGAATTTATGCAGCTGGGAAGTTAAATTATGATGGAAGGAGCAGGCGGGGGTAACAGGAAGGCGATGACAGCGAGCAGCTCCGTCTAACTGGTTATAAAACAATCACCCAGCGGCTACATCAAAGTTGGTGAGATCAACGCTGTCAGAACACAAACAGCCTCCGTGTTCACTTAAGTCCGGACATCCTTACTGAGGCAAATATATGCAAGGCTACACATTTGGAGTCAGAACCTAAGGTTTCCCATCAAACAAGCACACAGAAGATATGCAAGTGGGATGTCATGCACAGCACAGCAGGCTCCGGGCCTGTTTTAAGAATTTATTATAATAGATGTATTATTGCCAAAGGTAGAATTATTTGCTGTTCTTTTACAAACTGTGGAAAATCTGTAATTATTCTACAATCGTTCTGCGTGAAAATCACAAAGGACTAATGAATATGTTAGCAAACAAAAGTAACAAAAGACTCACAAAGCTTTGCCTGGAAACGCCGCCTAAAGAGAAAAGACACGATAACATGAAAAGTCACAGCTGGTGTGTGTCTGTGTCAGTGTGTGTGTGTGTCTGTGTCAGTGTGTGTGTGTGTGTGTGTGTGGGGTGGAGGATGCTGTGCAAATAGATGGATGCCCTAGGGGTCCTTTTGCATTATTAATATAGGGATCTGTAGTTGGGGCTCTTACTCAGATATAATATCACTGCCTCCTGCATGCAGTTTCAACATGATTTCTATTCTGCTCGCCCACCCACCAATTAATCTTCTTCATTGTTATTATTCTAGTACATATATATATATATATATATATATATATATTTTAAAAAAGCAGTCGCCTCTGCCTAAAAGTTAATAATCACATCCACTCTGAGCAGGCAGCTTTTAAGGCAGAGTTGGGGGGCAACAGCAACAGGGTAAATTGGACAAAATCACTGTGAACATGGATGTGGGCTCTGATAATCGAGCCTAGGTCAGTAATTAATGTGCTTGCTGTATCTGCCTGTCAAACCCATAGCTTCAGGATGTTATCAGTGACAGTCACATGGCCACATGGAGAGCTTTTTTTATCCCCACCTGAATATTGCTGACAAGTTGAGCAGAGAGAGAGAATCTGATGGTAGCTGTTCTGTTATTGGGTTATCGTTGGGTCAGATATGTCAGATTGTCTGTAGGTTTAAGGAGGTTTGCCAGCGTGCATCTGTGAGGGTTTAAATCTGTCGTGTCAGCTGTCAGTCACGGATG